TGATTTATAGCCGGTTGGTCAGAAGTATGGGGGGCCTGGGAGTTGGGACTGGTGTTTGAAGTGGGGCACTCTTATGGGATTGAGCCCTTAAGCTGTGGGTCTGCCCTAACTCTGGTAGTTAGTGTCAGAATGGAATCCAGTTGTTGGTGTCTGGAGAATCGGGGAATGGGATTTTGGTTTTGGAAAACACCCTAGACTTTCCAAAAGAGTGTCACCATTTACATTCCTAAAGGCATAGCTTGGGAAGGCCTGTTGTAGATATTATTGGGTAAACTACGTGGAAAAGTGAATACTTTATTTTATTTTATTTTTTTTTAATTTACATCCAAGTTAGTTAGCATATAGTGCAACAATGATTTCAGGAGTAGATTCCTTAATGCCTCTTACTCATTTAGCCCATCCTCCCTCCCACAACCCCTCCAGTAACCTCTGTTTGTTCTCCATATTTAAGAGTCTCTTCTGTTTTGCCCCCTCCCTGTTTTTATATTATTTTTGCTTCCCTTCCCTTCTGTTCATCTGTTCTGTGTCTTAAAGTCCTCATGAGTGAAGTCATGATATTTGTCTTTCTCTGACTAATTTCACTTAGCATAATACCCTCTAGTTCCATCCACGTAGTTGCAAATGACAAGATTTCATTTTTTTTGATTGCCGAGTAATACTCCATCATGTATGTATATATATATACCACATCTTCTTTATCCATTCATCTGTTGGTGGATATTTGGGCTCTTTCCATCCTTTGGCTATTGTTGATAGTGCTGCTGGAAACATGGGGGTACATGTGTCCCTTTGAAACAGCACACCTGCATCCCTTGGATAAATGCCTAGTAGTGCAATTGCTGCGTCATAGGATAGTTCTATTTTTAATTTTTTGAGGAACCTCCATACTGTTTCCAGAGTGGCTGCACCAGCTTGCATTCCCACCAACAATGCAAAAGAGGTCCTCTTTCTCCGCATCCTTGCCCACATCTGTTGTTGCCCGAGTTGTTAACGTTAGCCATTCTGACAGGTGTGAGGTGGTATCTCATTGTGGTTTTGGTTTGTATTTCCCTGATGATGAGTGATGTTGAGCATCTTTTCATGTGTCAGTTGGCCATCTGGATGTCTTAAAAGTGAGTACTTTTCAACTCTTTATCAAAGTGAATTTTTGAATCTAGACCGATAAAGACCGTAAAATGACAAACCCCTGTGTATCTAGCACATGGCCCCCAAATCATCAGAACACGGTCAGCACCGTGTTCACACCCCCCGGACTCTCACTTCCCCCCCCCGGGGTATATTGAAAATCCTAAACATCATACTATTTTTCTTGGATACATGTTTCTTAGAGTTTTTTTTTTAATTGTTGTAAGAACACTAAAAATGGGTTCCACAGATTTTTTTTTTTTTTAAGTAGGCTCAACGCCTAACTTGGGACTTGAACTCCAGACCTGAGAGTAAGAGTCACATGCTCTACCAGCTGAGCCACACAGATTTTTAAGTGCCCCATACGGTATTGTTAACTACTGGTACAGTGTTGTACGGCAGATCTCTTAGAGATTCTTCGTGTTGTCTGGCTGAAACTTTCCGCTCACCATTTCTCCTTCCCCCTGGAGGCTGCCAGCATCCTGCTCTTTGCTTCTGTGAGTCTATTTTAGACCCCTCACCAGAATCGAGTCATGCGGTGTTTGCCCTCCCGGGACTGGTTTACTTCAGTTAGCACGACGTCCTCCTAATTCATCAGCCTTGCAGCATATGTCAGGGTTTCCTTCTTTGTCTTAAGGCCAAATAATATATTCCGCTATAGGTATATACCACATTTTCTTTATCCGTTCATCTGTTGATGGACCTGAAGGTTGTTTCCACACCTTGGGTAATGTGAATGAATGCTGCAGTCGACTTGGGAGTGCAGGTGTCTCTTCAAAATCCTGATTTCAGTTCTTTTGGTTAAGTGCCCAGAGGTAGGATTGCTGGATGATATGGTAGTTCTCTGTAAACGATAGGCTCTTAACACTATAACCACACCAAGGAAAACAAACAAGCAAACCCAAAACAGAACGTGTATTAGTATTGTTTCTTTTTAATGCTGAATAATATTGCATTGTGTGGCTGTACCACATTTTATTTATGCGTTCATCAGTTAATGGTCGCTTGGCTACTGTTGAGTAACACTGCCGTGAATATCCATGACAAGTTTTGTGTGAGCCTGTTTTCGTTCACACGGGACTTGTGGGACTGCCAAACTTTCCAATGTGGCTGCACCATTTTCTCTTCCCATCAGCAGTGTATGAGGGTTCCAGTTTCTCCACATCCTCACCAACACTCGTTATTGTTTATCTTCCTAGTATCTCTGTGGTTTTCATTTACACTTTCCTAATGGCTCATGACGTTGAGCATCTTTCCACGTGTTATTGACCACTGTGTATCTTCTTCTGAGAAATGTGTGCAGATCCTTTGCCGATTTTTTAATTTGGCTTTTTCTCTTTTCATTAGTGGGTTCTAAGAGTTCTTATATATATTCTGGATATGAGGCCTCATCAGATTTGGTATACGTGCTTGGCTGAAGAGCCAACGGGGCGAAGCTACCAACTGCGGGATGGTGACTGAATGCCTCCAAATCCAGTGCGGAGAGCCTCTTGTCCTGGGAAACAGGGTGCAGCCAGAAAGGGGCTGCTCCCTCGCCCATCACACGATATATGTTCATGGAGAGCCTAGAGCTAAGCCATTTGTAGACAGCCCATTTGTGGGTTGGGGTTTCGTTCCCGGCAGAGCACCTCCCTCGCTGCAATCTACTGAAAGTCAGCCCTCGGCATAAGGGTTTGTAAACAGAAGTAGAAACAAACAAAAAAAAAGGTCTTATCACATATATGAATCGCAAATATTTCTCCCGTTCTGTGAATTGTTTCTTTTTTTTACTTTCTTCGAATATTGCTTGCAGCTCGAGAGTTTTATATAATAAAACAATATAGTTCAATTTACATTTTTTTTCCTTGTTATGCTTCCTTTTGCGGTCCTATCTGAGAAACCATTTGCCTAATCAAATGAGTTCTGAGAGTTTTAGTTTTTAGCCCTTACTTACATTTAGGCCTGTGATACATTTTGATTTAATTTTTGTGTTTGGTGTGAGACAGGGCTCCAACTTCATTCTTTCCTTCGTGGACATCCACTTGTCCCAGCATTACTTATCAGAAAGACGACGCTTTCTTCATTGAATTGTCTTGTCGCCCATGAAAATCATTGGACTGTAAATGTAAAAATGTTTGTAACTGGACTTCGAATTCTTTTGATCTGTAGGTCTCTTCTTATGCCAGTGCCCCCACAGTCATGGTTCCTGCAGTTTGAAGTTTGTTTGCTAATTTTTACATGAAATGGGTTTCCCTGAACCTTAGAAGCACAGTTCCCCAGCACACTTTCTCTGGCTTCCTGGTTGTAGGGCTCCCTCTTCTGTTGCTCTCCTGAAGTGTTCAAAAGTAGGGTTTCATGATTTCTGAGATCTGGTTCCATTTCTCCCTTCCGCTCTTTTGGGACCATCCCTTTCTTTTCTTCTTATACCCATGGCCTACTCAATTTGAAATCCTTCCCAACAGTTTATAATACAAAGGTATAAAAAGAAAAAAATTGGGGTCTGGCTCTGCTGTCCACAAGACCCCTCTTGACAGTTTTTACAAACGGATAGTGTACAAAAAATTTTAAAAAATTTAGGGGCGCCTGAGTGGCTCAGTTGGTTGAGCGTCTGACTTCAGCTCAGGTCATGATCTCACGGTTTGTGGGTTCAAGCCCCACATCGGGCTCTGTGCTGACAGCTCAGAGCCTGGAGTCTGCTTTGGATTCTGTGTCTACCCCTCTCTATGCCCCTTCCCACTTGCGCTCTGTCTGTCTCTCTCTCTCTCTCTCTCTCTCTCTCAAAAATAAATAAACATTAAAAAAAAATAATAAAATTTAAAACAAGAAAACGTGTACATACTTAGGGTCCTTCAATAGTTGAGTAAAGTGAAAGTATTCTTCCGTCCTCATCTATTAAGGTCTCAAGAAATTCCTTTCAGGAAAAACCTAGGTATACATTTGCCAGAGTATATACAGTTATTCTTGAAAGTATTTATTTATGGGGCACCCGGGTGGCTCAGTTGGGTAGATGTCCGACTCTTGATTTTGACTCAGATCTTGATCTCACGGTTTGTCAGTTCGAGCCCTATATTGGGCTCTGTGCTGACAGCATGGAGCCTGCTTGGGATTTCTCTCTCCCTCTCTCTCTGTTGCATGTGTGTGTGCGCGCGGTCTCTCTAAATAAATAAATAAATAAATAAATAAATAAATAAATAAATGTTTTAAAGAGCATTTGTTTATGCAGAATGTTTTTTAATTTTTTATTTAATATATAAAGGATGTTTTAAAATTGGGAATATGTGTCAGCTGAAGAATATTACCACTTTATTTATTTATTTATTTATTTATTAAGTTATTTATTTTGAGAGAGAGACGTAGCTGGGGAGGGAGAGGGAGGGAGAGAGAAAGAATCCTCAGCAGGCTCTGCACTGTCAGCGTGGAGCCTGATACCAGAACCTGATGAGATCATGACCTGAGCTGAAACCAAGAGTCAGAGGCCTAACCGGCTGAGCCGCCCAGGCATCCCAAGCCCCCCTTCTTGATAGACAGGATTTCTGTACAGTTTGGGGAAGGAACCCAGGCTTCTTGTATAATTATTAATCCCATTCGTGGATTCTGTGTTTAAATAACTCCTGGTTGTATGGTCCCATCTCCCAGCAGTGCTTAGAAAGGCTGCTTTTGGTTACGGTGTCTCAGAGGACTTCTAGTTCAGGAACACTGGTAACTCTGATGCCTTGAGGGTACATACCTTCTCTGTCTGCAAGTATTTTCCTGTCAGGTAAAATGCCTGGTCCTTGAGGATAGGAAATAGTCTCTTTTTCTGTGTATTAGTGCTCCGAGACATCTCTCCTGGCTGCCGGACAGACTGCCTGAGGAATGCTGACCTTGCTTCTGGGACCTGTGTTTATTCCCTCCAGGGGAGCCGGGAAGCGGGACGGAAAGTGATACTTCTCCAGACTTCCACAATCAGGAAAATGAGCCCAGCCAGGAGGACCCTGAGGATCTGGATGGATCTGTGCAGGGAGTGAAGCCTCAGAAGGCTGCTTCTTCTACTTCCTCAGGGAGTCATCACAGCAGCCATAAAAAACGAAAGAATAAAAACCGGCACAGGTCAGTGGCAGGGGCCTCCCCTCCCCGCCCGCCCCTGCCCCCCTGCCCCCCCTGCCCACCCCCCCAACCCCTCCAGCCTCCGTGACCATTGCTGTTAAGGGTCTGTACCAGAGTGAGAATTCTTTGAGATTGGTGCCCTCTTTGTGTTGCAGATGGGGAGAGATTGCTTTGATCCAAATGAAATAGAAGTTTTCTCCAGTGGAGGAATTGGTGGGCATTTAGAGTAACCATGAAGGAAGACATCCTTCCCACTGTTCTAGTGTAGAAGAATGGCATTCTATGAAAACTTTGTTTAATGCGGTGAATTTGGCATCCTTTTAGAAGGGCAAAAGGGGAAGTAGAAATGGAATGTGTGTAATAGTCTTTGGAAAATGCCACGAGTACATGTTGGGAAGCTGGAAAAGTGGAGAAAGTCTTCTGCTCTTAATCCTGGTCCCTGCCTACAGTTATTCGCTTGTGGATGGAGAGAGCTGATCTGACATGCCTTTTTTCTCTTTAAATACAAGTTTTTTGATTCCTTGTGATTTGATATGTATCTCTCTAATATGCTGATTTCAGATATCAGAGAGGAGTAGTATAAAGTCTGTAAGATATGAGAGTGCCTTTCTAGATAATGTGTGTCCACCGTGTATGTGGGGTGGGGGTTGTCTTTTGGTTTCTTTTGTTTTTACAGTGTGTAATGAGATAGGTATGACATCAGTGGACAGGGAGGTCAGGTGTCATCCAGAGAAGATTTTAGCATTCACTCTGCCTGGGACTATTAACTCAGATAATTGGAAATTAAACAGCTGTACTCAGAGAGGGTAATGGCATAGTTTCTAGAAGAATCTTGCCCTGACCTCAAACCTTCTTCTGGGAGGCATGAAAACCAGGTATCCACAGGCTGGCTTTTGTCCTGCTCCTCTTGGGAGCCTGCATATATGTGTGTGTGTGGATGTATACATAGATAGGTAGATAGATAGATAGATGTGTGTGTGTGTGTGTGTGTGTATATATATATATATACACATATATACACACATATATATGTATGTATATATACATATGTATGTATATATGTGTATATATACATATGTATGTATATATGTATGTATATATGTATATATATATACACACACATACATATATATGTGTGTGTATGTGTGTATATATATTTAATGTTTTTATTTATTTTTGAGAGACAGAGACAGAGTACGAGTAGGGGAAGAGCAGAGAGAGAGGAAGACACAGAATCTGAAGCAGCTCCAGGCTCTGAGCTGTCAGCACAGAGCCCGACTCAGGGCTGGAACTCATGGGATCATGACCTGAAGGGAAGTGGACCGCTTAACTGGCTGAACCACCCAGGCGCCCCAGGAGGCTGCACATTGAGAGGAAAGGGGAAGGGCAAGGAGGGCGGAGCTCCCTGTGCTCCAGTGTGCTTCTGGGCTGGCTTGTTCCACAGACGTGTAGGATGTTCCTTCACACGCACCCAAGGCATTCACGTTGTTAGCTTCGTGGTTATGGCACATGGGGATAATGTAGAATGAACTTAAACTGGTTTAAGCCTCCTAGGCATCAATAGGTTCTTTAATTCTTTAAAAAATTTTTCTTGTCAATGGTGGTGGTGGTTTTTAGACTGCAGAAATAGTATTTCCTCCAAATGGTGACTCAAGACTGCTGCTCAGCACTTTCCTGCAAACCAAAAATCACTATGCCAATCTCGTAACTGCAGTAACAAATAGCAAAAATTGCTTATCTTTTTTGTGTGCAGGTTATAGGCTATATAATCACTGTGGTAGGACTAATGCAAACTGATCACAAACAGTAGCAGGGAACCATAATCTTTTTTTTCTTTTGTTTAAGAGAGCACGTGAGTGGGGGAGGGGTGGAACAAGGGGCAGGGGGAGAGAGAGTGAGAATCTTAAGCAGGCTCCACGCTCAGTGCAGAGCCTGATGCGGGGTGTGATCCCACGTCCCTGGGATCATGACCTGAGCAGAAATCAAGAGTCAGGCGCTCAACCGACTGAGCCACCCGGGCCGCCCCCCACCCCACCGAACCATGCTCAAAATATTTTTTTAAATTGTCAAGATAATTGTCATGCTCTGTGTTGCTTTTATTAAATTTACTCCAGTGTCATTTTAAAGTAATTACTCTTTTCCTATTTCACAGTGTCCTGAGTAGGGGGAACATTCCTTGAAAGTTTCTGGATGTTTCTTCCATTTGTGGTACAGTAGATAGCTACTGTTTATTATAGGTAATCCTTCCCTTTGAAAAAAAAATTTTTTTTAATGTTTTATTTATTTTTGAGACAGAGAGAGACAGAGCATGAGCAGGGGAGGGGCAGAGAGAGAGGGAGACACAGAATCCGAAGCAGGCTCCAGGCTCCGAGCCAACAGCCCAGAGCCTAACGCGGGGCTTGAACTCACGAACCGTGAGATCATGACCTGAGCCGAAGTCGGATGCTTAACCGACTGGTACCCCAATCCTTCCCTTTTTTTAATGCCATGATCAGCTGACCGATAAAAGGGAATTAAGCATGAACTTAACTTTCCTCCTGCAGGCTTCTAGTACTAGTAGATTTCCATAGAAACAGCATTTCTTCCTGCCATTTTTATAAATACTAGGATTTATAAAGATCTTCGATGTTAGTTATTGCTTTCACAAATGACATTTTCTGTCTGGAAAGCTGGAGCCTTTTGTCACCCGCCTGATGTGGTATCTGGCCGGCCTCCTCCCTTTGGCTGTAGGCGCTTACCTGCCCCAAGGGAGCAGAGTGGAGCTGATTTGCCTTCTTTCTGTGTAAACAGGTTCAGTGCACTGCAGTGGCATCTCAGTGGCCAGTTAAAGTTCTCAGATTTCTGCCATCTTTGGTCAGGAAGTGTCCAGACCCCTTGCTCCCTGACTGATGTCTCTCCTAGTGGGCACGGGGCTGGGGCTGGAGTGCTTTTTGTTTGTACACATTTGAACGTTTGCACCCCGAACGGTGCTTGTATCTCCCCCGCAATGTGCCACCCACCCCCCCACCTATTTAGATGAAGTCAGTTGTAAATTATTTCAACAAATGCCTGAGAACCCACTGTGTGCCAGGCCCTATTTAGTAAAGCAAAGTGGAAATAAATATGGAACTTGAGCAAAAAGGAATAACTTTTGGATTTGTCCTCCTTAGGAATATGAACATTTATCAAATAATGTTTAGCATTCACAGATGATCACCCTGTTCCGAATTCTTATATTTTACAGGGTATCTGAACAATAAGTCCCAGCGGCTGTAAGGAAGAAAGTTGCAATAATAACTTACAGCTGTTCTTACAGGTCTTTGCTAACATACAAAACCCTAGAATTCTTCCAGGTAGCTTGCGAAGTTTTCATTAGGTGGGTACAGTCTACTTTAATTTGCGAACAAAATTAAATTAGGCCGAGAGTTAGGTTGTTGATAGTTCCTGGTTGGTACACCGTGTACCCTTTCCCAGATGCCGTAAGTGACACGGTTGCATAAGGGATACCGAAGTTATGCTTTCTTCCAGCTTCACTCTTGCAAACATGGGCTAGGAGGAAAATACAGCATTTTGCGTATTGTTCCAGCACCTACCTACGGTGTAAAAGGTGTTACAACAGCCAAGGAGCCGGTGTCATGCTCAGGGTTCATGTTTGCCTTGGAGGTCTGCCCGGACCGTGGTCTGTTAGCAGCGATGGCCTACACAGCCTCCTCCCCTTCACCGTTCCCTTGCAGATCCCCGAGGCTTGGGGGCTTGGGGAGATCGGCTCTCCTTTGTTTCAGTAGGGGGGGCCGTCGGTTTGGGTGTTCGAAGTCCTGGCCCTGACAGGGACAGTTAGCTGTCATCGCCAGTTCAGGGGCAAAGCAGGCCTAGCACTGAGGTGATTCGTTTGACCCTGGGCCTCTAGGATGAATGCTGTAGAAAGAGGACCGTGTTCCCCAGACATGCCTCCAACATAGAACTTGAGTTCAAAGTTGCAAAATGCTTTCTTTTTAAAAATGTATGATGTTTTTATCTCTTATGTTGGTCAAAGTATATTGTGCTGAATTGTTAGTACTGTCTTCGAAGCACCTTTCATTGTATGACTAAACCCTTCTTTCTCTATTTCTTCTAATGCCCTATTTATATTCTTCATGACAATTAAATATTTTACAAGTTCTAACTCTGAGTCTGGCAGCTAATAGAGGGCCTGCAGTTACCTCGTTTCCTAATGAAATAACTTTTCCTTTCATAGTCTGCTCTGATACAAAATCCAGGAGGGAAGGGACTCTCCCAACCACAAAATCTTGGGTGCTTTGATGTTTGAAACTTTATCGCTTAAGATTCTGAAAGCTGATTTTGTTTCTACAAATCTTGCTAGGGTGGCTAATCGACTAATTTATTCAATTAGTATATTAATTTCTATTGCTTTCTTCCTTTCAAATGCTGCCCCTCAGCCCGTCTGGCATGTTTGATTATGACTTTGAGTAAGTTTGATTTGAATTAGTATTTGTGCTGTGTTGTTTAGTGTGTAGAGACCGATATGCCTTTTTGAGACCTTTCTAACCCATAGTTTATCTGTTCAATTGTAGGTATGTATATTAGGTTAGGCTGGGAAGTTTTTTTTAAAAACAGAAAAACGTGATGGAGGTAACATTTTATTTAATAACTTAAGCAAAATTAAGTAAACTTCACTCTTATGCATTTTAATTTCTTTAAAAGTAGATAACCTTTACTTTTAATTCACATTTAAATTGATTTTCTGGCTTTGCTTCGTAAGGAGATTAATAGTTTAAGATCTTGATATTTTGCTTTGGAAAGACTTAAAAATTGAAATTTGTTTAATTTCTTTTGTGTTTCCTGTCCAGAAATACAAACTCCTAGTCTCTTTCCTGTTCTTAATCATTATGTGTCTCAGTGATTATCAGTGATAGAGTTACAGAGCTAACACATTAACGTAGAGCATGCCCTCTTAATCCAATCTCTTTAACGCCTAGTTTTGAATAGTTTTAAAATGATACGGCTTTCATAACTGCTGTATATTTCTTTTTGTCATCTAAGTCTGCCTTGCGGCAAGAGTATCTGCTTATGTTTTTAAATACTTGCTCAATAATATCTGGGTAAACAACTAAATGTGACATAGTCTAATGAAGAATGTGGATTTTACTTAACCAAATAGTCTTTGTTATAGCTTGTGCCCTATGCAGTAGCTGATTCCTGGCCCCTTTTTCTGTAAATTAAAATGCAAATATCTTTTATCTTTTCTATCACAGGATTGATCTGAAGTTAAACAAAAAACCACGAGCTGTAAGTATCAGCCAGACCATTTCATAGAGACTGGTGATTTTGTAGATGATTAGAACCATGTGTTTGTCCTCAGAGCCGAGTGCTCCTGCATGAGCGCGCGCTCTCTCTCTCTCTCTCTCTCTCTCTCTCTCTCTCTCTCATTTCTCTTGTCTCTCTCGGGTTGCAGCTCTCATTTTGAAGGCCGGGGTGTCCATTTGGGTACACTTCAATTTGTAGATGTTACTTTCTTTTGTATTTTGGGTAGAGAAAGGGGTCACACATTTTTCCTGAAGAAAAAGTCCCTTTGATTAAAGAATGAATTACTACTAGGATTTTTTTTTTCTTTCTTTCTTTCTCTGATTGGTGAGCTCGGGGGGCCTGATAAGGGCAGCATTGATGTTTCGGCCCCTCTCTGGACTTGGAAGACAGGCCATTTTCAGATGTGAAGTGTTGTCTGTTACATTTGAAGTAGAATATTTGGCTACAGAGCAACCCCCTAGCAGGGTTCTTTATGGGTGAGGTTTTTTTTTTTTTTTCCCCTAGGTTCAAACTGATGTTCTACTGAGTGTAAGTTGGGACTTTGTTTTTCTCTCTTTAGGACTATTAGAAGACTCATTAGTGCAGAAGCTTCCAGGCTATAGAGCCCTGCTTCCCTCCTCCGACCTCACAAAGATAAATATCCCTCACCTGAGCGTGCGGCCACCCACCTCTGCTTTCCCAGACCCAGTGCCTGTGACTCTGAATAGTTTGTTCTGAACCGTGGTGACAAGTCATTTCTGTAAGACCACATTGGATCATTTACTTTGTGTCATTTTTGGTAACAGAACAGCAAGAAGACCAAGACGTGGTTACAATTCCAGCAAGTTGCTAACTGTGCGTTTTTCCCTTCTTGGAATGAGTGTCTCCCCCCCTCCCCCCCCCCCAACTGGCTGGCACCAGCTTCTTCGTCTGTGATACCCATTGAGACATGTTCTCCGGTTTTGTTTTATGCCGAAAGTAGAACATAGGTCACATTTCAGAGGGAGGCTGTAAATATCTGGCATTTTCCTATTTGGTTTGTGTTTTATTATTTTTCTATTGTTTTTACCATCTTCTTTTCTTTTGGGACTTTTTGTAATGCCGTTGTACAGCTCATACCTTCCTGCTGGCATATCTGATCGTCCGCTTCGCACAGTTGCCACTACTTTTAACAGAGAATGATCTGGTTTACCATAAATAAGATGGGAAACGCGGCTCTGTGTTTTTTTTTTGCAGGGGAAAGGTAAAGAGTGTTTATTTAATAATTACCTATCTTAAATCTTTCTGCGTTGGAAGCAGTTTCATGTTCAAGGAACAGGAAAAGCTGAAAGACCTAAGTTTAAATCAATCCTTTTAAAATATTTTTATTCTTTTATATAAATAAAATTTCACAGGTGTTGACTTCTCATGCTTTACTTTTAAACCTGAGATTGTTTTTTCACTTATTTTATTTATTCATATCATGCCTGATGGAAATTTCTTTCATTCTCCATTTTTCTCTCTTTGCTGGTATCTGCCTGATTAAACGTTGCTCTAAAGATCATTAAGGCATATGGAAAGGCTCTCAGTTGCACCCAAAGCCAGTAATGTATGGAGTTCTTGAGCAGAGTGAAAGATAGGATCCGCGAGAGCCAGCGATGCCCGGCAGACCCCCTTCTTCACCGGGCCGGCCAGGCTGAGGATCTTGCCGATTTGTTGAACTGTCGCCTGCCTCTTGAGTGGTGCTCTACCTCGGCTGCTCACTGGAATCACCTGGAGAGCTTAAAGACCTACCGATGCCTGGGCCCTCCCCCCACCAGAGACTCTGACTGGGGTGCAGTCTAGTTTTGGGGCTTTCCTTCCAAAGAGTTCCTGGGATTCTGATAAGAAGCCAGGTTGCGAACCACTGCATTAGGAGTGTTTGATTGAAATCCTATGTTGCGAATCAGTCTGTGGGATAAGATTTGGGGCCCCACCTTTCCTTTGATGCTGTTTAGTCATAGTCCTTGATTTATGCCCATATCTTTGTTAGAAAAAATATGTTCCATTGTGATAATATTGGTAGAGCTGAATACGGATGGCATCTGTTATCAGAATGAGTCTACCTTGTCGGATGTGCAAACGCTTTCAGTCTTGTTCTCAAATAAACTTTTTTTTTTTTTTTGACTCTGTGGCTAATTAGATGTCTTTGGCTATGTCTTTGGTAAGAGGACTCCGGTGTCTGCATTTTTAAGAAAATAGTTTCTTATATTTAGATTGTTCCTTAAAAAAAGAAAGAAACAACTGTAAAGCTGAAAACAATGGGAACCAGAAGCTTTCTCTGTCCTTCTTTGTCAGTTTCTCCCTTTCCCGGAAGAGAGGAGTGGGGGTTCCTACAGTTTCCATGATCCCAAGGAAAAGCACACAGCAAACCTGAAAATATTTCTGACTCTGACATTTGCTGGAGATCTAGTCGGATTGCACTTAAAAAGATGTATTATTTAAAAGCATACTTGGGGCGCCTGGGTGGCCCAGTCGGTTAGGCTTCCAGCTTCGGCTCAGGTCATGATCTCAGTTTGTGGGTTCGAGCCCCGCATCAGGCTCTGTGCTGACAGCTCGGAGCCTGGAGCCTGCTTCGGATTCTGTGCCTCCCTCTCTCTCTCTTCCCCTCCACTCGCCCTCTCTCTCTTTCTCTGAAAAATAAATCAACAGTTAAAATTAAAAAAAAAAAAAAGTAAATAAATAAAAGCATACCCCTGTATGTGAATACACATGTGTGTGTATAATCATGGTTAGAAGTAGGCTGCTTGCTTTATACTTCTTTTCTCTATAAAGTTTTTTTTTTTTTTTTTTTTAATTTTTTTTTCAACGTTTATTTATTTTTTTGGGACAGAGAGAGACAGAGCATGAACGGGGGAGGGGCAGAGAGAGAGGGTGACACAGAATTGGAAACAGGCTCCAGGCTCCGAGCCATCAGCCCAGAGCCTGACGCGGGGCTCGAACTCACGGACCGCGAGATCGTGACCTGGCTGAAGTCGGACGCTTAACCGACTGCGCCACCCAGGCGCCCCTCTCTATAAAGTTTTAATCATTGATTAGGGGACCTGCCAGTTGTCCTGAAAGCTGGCCACAGACCGAAGATATTTACGTCCCGAGAGACTGCTTGTGTCTTTAGATTGGGGAGGGTTAGGAAAGAAACCCAAGAGATCCCGCTTACTGTGCTTGTGATGTTTGTAACTTTGCTTATTAACTAAGTTTGTCCATAAACATCCACTGGGCCGATGACCTCGGAACCAGAACAGCTGCCAGGAGCCCTGAGAGGGGCTTCCTTCCGGACAGGTCTTCACCAGGTTACTTGGGTTTGGAATGGTATTTTGCTTTAGGCCTTTAGCTTTCTCATGTCCACATCGGGAAGAGATTGTCCTTCGCTCCTTTTGGTAGTTATGAGACATTTTAAAACACCCAGGCACTTGGTAGTTGTATTTTGTGTCTTCTCCTGGAAGGGAGGTGTCTGTACAGAGCTCCCTAGGGAGTCTCAAGTATGCTCTTCCAGGGGCTGAGGAAATAGTTTGTCGAAACTCAAAATGTTCTCGGGGCGCCTGGGTGGCTCAGTCGGTTGAGCGTCAGACTTCAGCTCAGGTCATGATCTCACAGTTCATGAGTTCGAGCCCCACGTCGGGCTCTGTGCTGACAGCTTGGAGCTTGGATCCTGCTTCAGATTCTGTGCCTCCCTCTCTTTCTGCCCCAACCCACTCGCATTCTGTCTCTTTCTCTCTCAAAAACAAATAAACATTAAAAAAAAATTAAAAAAAAAAAAAAAAAAGAAACTCAAAATGTTCTCAAAAGCATCTGACCCTACAAGTTGAAGATGGAGAGCAGGGACAACCCACCAAGTGAAAGATCGGAAGCTCTTCTGGGGGAGGGGCCGAGGGAAACGCCGTAAGTTCGGATCTGGCCCATACAAGCTGAGCGTAGGTTTTTCAGAGCTGCTGTATGTGTCTTGGGTGCCTTTCCTGTGCTTGCACAAATTGAGCCTTGGGGTGCTCTAGAATACTCTGTTAAGTAGTCTATAGAGAGTATTGTCGATATCTCGACCCGTGCGGTGAATAAGGGCATTGAAATAAATATTAAAATGGCCAAACTTTGAAAGGAGTAAATACGCTGTTTTGAAACACGCTGTGACCTAGTTGTTCTGCTTTTATTCCTGACTGCTCTGCGTCTCAGCCTCACTCCAAATGACTGAGGCATTAATTACTACATGTAGAAGTTCACCTCTGAAGCCCGACTCCAGGGCCACTGCCCTGGCGCAGTGTGGAGAGAGAGAGAGCGGCCTTGTGCTTCTTTGTACACAGTGACTTCTCCCAGATTGGTGTCCTCCTCAGTGCCCGGGGAAGGTGGTGTGCATGGAAGACGCGGAGAGAGTCGGAAGGAATTGGGAGTCTCATTCCTATGTTAATGTAAATGTTCTCGTGTCTGAATTTTCTAAATGGGAAGCTTCATGATTTGAAACCGCTTTCACTTTGCTTCAAAAACTGCTTCTGCAGGGGCGCCTGGGTCGGCTCAGTTGGTTGGGCGGCTGACTTCAGCTCAGGTCGTGATCTCGGGGTTCGTTGGTTCGAGCCGCACATCGGGCTCTGTGCTGACAGCTGGGAGCGGGGAGCCTGCTTCGGATCCTGTGTCTCCCTCTCTCTCCCCCCTCCCCCACTTGCACTCTTTCTCCGTCTCTCAAAAATAAATAAAACGTTGAAACAAGTTAAGAAAAAAGAAATTGCTTCTGCAGAGTGAAGGTTCTCACTGCTAAGACAGCCGGTGGTATGGATTCTGATCCCCACTTCAGCTCAGGGTGGTGGTCCCCAGGAAGGAGGGTACGGAGGATGGCTCATGGCAGGTGGGAAGAACATATCGGGCCTTCGATTTGTATCCATTTTCTGGCTCAGCCTGTTTTGGTTCTCTGAATGTGTTGTGATACAGTCTCTGTAAATACTCATTAGTACATGTAGATAATTCACAAATGTTCAGTTGAACCGCAAGCAGTCGCTGGCATTCAACCGTTTTGATCTTCAGAATGGGCAGTTGTCATGTTTTAACAACACGCACACGTTGTGCTCTAAGTGTTGACTGTTCGTGTACTAGAATAAACTTTAGAGGAACCCCCCCCCCGCCCCGCCCCGGCCAAAATAACCCTCTTCAGATCCCCACCCCCACCCCCATAACTTACTTCTGTACCTTCCTCAGGCTTTAAAATATTTCATTTGAATAAGTAACATGCAAACGACATACATTCAAATAGGGCTGGAGTAAGGTCAAGGAAAAAAGTCAGTCCGCCTGTCCCTCAGCGACTAGTTGTCCTTCCCAGAGGCAGTTCATTGCGTGTCCTCCCAAAGGAGTTTATTCGCACACACGCATGTGGCTTTTACAAAAATGGTGGCGTACGTTTTTGATCTAGTAACCCAGCTTGGAAAGTGTTCTGTAAATGCAGCCGCCTCACTTCTGTCGGCTACTTCACATTCCTTTATATGCTTACACCAAAATGTATGTAACGGATCTTCTGATGGCATGAATGTTCTTTTCCCTCTTTTGCCATTTCGGGCAGTATCATGGCGCCTTCGGCTTTGCAAATAGGATTCTTAGCAGTGGGATTGCTGAGCTGTAGAGAATGTACCGAGGGGTTAAAACACGGATCTCACTGTGATTTTTATCGCCCCAGTCACTTTTGAAATGTGAATGCTTTGTTTTTCTCCCTTTCCTTATTCCTCCAGTTCCTGAGGATTTTTCTTGGGTTATTTGTTACCCATAGCAGTTGGAATTTTCTGGAGCTTCCCGTTTTGTAGAAGGCGTGACCGTGACGTCTGGTGCCGCTTTGCCAGGTGGAGCTGCAGACGCCATTAAGAATTCCCATTTTGGGGGCACCTGGCTGGCTTAGTTGGTAGAACTGACTTTCGATCTCAGGGTCATGAGTTCAAGCCCCGCATTGGGCGTAGAGCTTACATTAAAAAAAAAAAAAAGAGGGGCACCTGGGTGGCTCAGTCAGTTGAGCGTCTAACTTCAGGTCATGATCTCACGGTTCGTGAGTTCGAGCCTCACATCTGGCTCACTGCTGTCTGTCAGCGCAGAGCCCGCTTAGGATCCTCTGTCCCCCTCTCTCTGCCCCTCCCCCACTTGCGTTCTCCCAAAAATGTGACTTACCAAAAAAAAAAAAAAAAAAAAAAAAAAAAAAAAAAGAATTCCCATTTTTGCCCTAGCACTCTCCATATTATTCTCTCTAAATTCTTGTTTTCAGATCCTATTGGAGATGCTTGTCTCTTGGCATTTCGTTCAGGCCAGTGCTGGTGGCTGTGAGGGCTGGGCCGCCCCCTGCTGCACAGACGGTCATACCAGGAGGTGCCAGCAGGTGGCAGGCAGAGCACCATGAGCACCCCTGGCCTTCAGTGGGGCTCTTTTCTGGACAGCAGCCAGAATCTGAGCCGCTGGACCCTTCCCAGACCCAGCAACGTGCCGGAGTCAGTGTGGGTTGCTATGGGTTGCCTGATCCTTTTCTTCCACCTTTGCAGCCATTTCTTACACGGGCAGACAACTTGAGATGGCCAGCAGCTGCCTTGAGATGGGCTCCAGGAAGCCACATCCTAGGAGGACAGCCTGAGGCCTCCTCCCCATCCAGGAACTAGCTGGAAGGATTTACATATCCTGACCTGGGATGGCTTGAGTTTCCTTAATTGCAGGGCTTTCCTTCCTGTCTTTTTCAGCCAAATCTCCCACACCCTTCCCTTGAACAAGGAGGTCCCCTGAACAAGCACTTACTCACTGCTCTTAACTCCACCCACTCTGCTCTGGTCTAGGGGGAAGAAAATGAGCCAGAAATTTGAGAAGCCCCAGAGAAAGAGTGCTAGGATCCTGAGACCGCCTTGTTTGTGGGCAGGAGCCCCCAGGGGACCAGGAGCCCCCAAGGGACCAGCCGGGCCTGGGGCTTGGGCTGGTGGCTCCACCACCCTCCCCACACCCACCTCCTAGATTTGTGTTTCACTGGGTCCCAGTTTCTCTGATGGAGGCCTGCCCACCCCCTCCTTCTGGGCTGGGGGCCCTGCCCTTCTCTGTAGGGGAGGGGACATGAGGGAAGGAAGTGGCAACTGCATGGTCAGCGGTGGCCTCTTCTCAGCCACTGCCCCACGCCACCCTGAGGGAGACCAACAAGGTTCCA